CTTTGAACTAAAACTGTCCACACCTTGGCCTAGATGTGCTACACACTCGGTTCTAGGTCATACCATTCAGGCCAACAAATCACTCATGCAAGAGATCAAGGATCTAGAACCCTAGATATAACATCTCGCGCCCAAGAATTGCACATCTCGGCCTAGGCGACGCGCACTCGGCCTAGATGGTGACATCTCGGCCAATATGCCAGGGTGAAGATGGAGGTCAACCAACGTGGTTCCAGGAATAGTTCTAAGTGATAAAGGTCTCGAAGGTGTCTAGGCTTAAGTATGACCTCGCAACACACCAGTCAAGAACAAAGCATGCAAGAAATCATTCAAGCAAACAGACAAGATTTGCAAATGACATATTAAACAAGATCATCCTAAATGTATGCAAGTATGACTAAGTCAAAACGAGGGTTGTTACATTTAGTTTAAGTCGTTGTCAACACCTCTTTTTTTTTTTTTTTTTTTTTTTTACGTACTGTACTAGAATATAAAAAATTAATATTGTTGATGATCAAGGATGGACTTTTTTTTTCATTAATAAAATAAATAAATTAGTACTGTTATGATCATGATGTGATCTTGAAATTTAAATATACTTTCACACCCTGTGGATCAGTCCTTGGTGATGATTACAAAACATAAAAATGATGATTTTTTCTATTTCAATCAATGACATTTGGTGGGGGTTTTGGCAACTAACAAAAAAAAAACTCTTTTTTTTTCTTTTTGAATATTATTTTTTAAATTTGCCGCAAAGATTTTTCTTTTTTCTATCTAGTGTAGAATGATCTAAAAACATCACCAACTTATTTTTCACTTTTATTTTTAATGAATTTTTTTTCATTTTTTTGGTCCATGTAGTCGAGTAGATTCTAAAATGCAAAGTTTTTGGAAAAAAGTTCATCAAAAAAAAAAAAAAAAAAAAAAACCCAAATACTTACTGCAGTTCCACTAAGTTTTCTTTATGAAAAATTAAAATTCGAGTAGCTACATCACTTTACCAAGGCTGAGATCTTCTGTCTCCAAAAAAAGTTATCTTTCCTCTATCCCATCACTTACAAGCACACGATTTGACTATTTTTTTTTGTAAAATTTAATTAAAAATCAAATCGTGTGACTGTAAATGTATTAGAGAGGAAAATAGACAGCTTTTGGGAATAGAGAATCCCGCACCACTTCACCAAAATCCCATAGCACTTTGGCATTCTCTTTCTCTTGAAAAGATTGTCAAATACGCATTGTAGCTAAAGTTATTCCCATCATTTTAATCGTGCCCAGCAATTAAGTTGGTTAAAAATAACTAATGAATCATCACTGATCAAAAAAAGGTAACAAAAACTTTTTCAATTGACTTTAGATTTTGGATAAATTTCTCGAAACAATGAATTCCAAGTTGCTTTTAATATATTCTGCAACTTCTCATTCATTTTGCTCTCTAGACTATCATCATCCATGTCATAACATGTAGAAATTCATTAGTTGGAAAGGTTCTTCAACTATTAAAGGGTTTGATTGAAAAGGGAGAAAAAAAAAAGCAATAGAGTACTCAAATAGAGAAACATACACATACCCAATTGCTTTCACAGCCTCTACATGGTAGGGAATGAACACACATTTTCCTGTTTCAATTGCATAGAATTCCTCTGCTGCTTCACTCTTTGAATATGTGATGCCAATTGAATCACATCATTCGTGTGCCTGTGTTCATGAGAAAGACAACTTTTAGACTTCACAGAATCAGATCTTTGAAAAATCCCACCTGCTTCGACTTCAAAATCAATATCAATACCAACATCAAAGATCACTGAAGGCCTTTGCCGGTCAAGTTCCATTGAATTCTTCCCAGAAGAATGAAACCCGTCTGGTGAAACTACAAAATCTTCAGAATTTTGATTGATTCCACAATGAGCATTAGTGTCCGGTGTGATCAAAGGGCTAAACATGAGAATTCTTGTCAAATGGGTTGACAAATTCTTTGTTTGGGCTGACAGAAGAAAGAGAGCACTGCTGGAGTTTGAGATCCCAGATAATTCTATTTCAAGAAAAGTCTAGCCGGTTTGCGATGAAATTTTTTCCGAAGCATTTTGTTTTCCCATGCTGTGAAGATGGAAGACGGGTTTGGAATGTGAATGCCTATTTGTGGTCAGCATTGATAATTGTGGGTTGTAAATTGGCTCCGATTCTTTTTTGGTATGGTTGCATCGATTACCTTGGGCATTGCCTTGTGAACATCCTTGAGATCGCAAAGTGTCGGAAAATCTATTTCGAAATGCTTATTCAAACTTAATGGTCCATCCTGCATAACCTTAAATAATATATATATATATATATGAGTTAGTTGATAAAGGGTTATGTGTTAGAGCGGTGACCGATTCCAAAGTGATGACAGATTAAGTCTTCCCCATGCATGGCATACAAGTGTCTTCTCCATGCCACCAACTTACTCCATCTGTCAAATTACATATGTATATATGATATATTCATTATCTATTTCTCTAGAGTTTTTGTTGCATTGCATTGTTTACATGTATGCAGATCATACTATACACTCAATATGACTAGCCAAGGCTTTGCTATTCTCACCACAATGTCCACTCTCTCTTCAATCTCATGCAACCTTATCATCAAGAAATAACTCCCATTCTACATATCTATTAAATTAATAGTGTCCTATACTGCTACAATTTCTCATGAAACCCTAAAACATGTCTCTGTTTTAGGCCACCAATGATTAACCCAAAACCTAACTGACCCACTATCAAAAACTCTGCTGGAGTTCCCTTCGCCGGCCGACACCAAACCTTTTGTGCCGCCGGAGGTGCCTCGGACTCTGAATGTTTCGGATTTTGTCCCAGTTCTACTAGAGAAGCCTGTCGACCCTCTGCCGTTGTCACCTAGGCCGAACTTGGAATTTCTTGGCCCACCAAATCCGGAGCCACCAATTTCGGAAGAACCTCAATAGCCAATGCCACTTGGTCCGGAATGGCTGTTGGAGGTGTTTCCGCCACGTACATCGAAGGTCACTCCACTGAAGCCACCGAAGGTGGGGCCACCGAACCCATTACAGCCATATATTCCACCACTTGTGTCTAGTTCAAGGGCGGACCTAGGGCTAGACGTAGGTGGCTGTAGCCCAATCCAAAATTTAAAATATCTGTAGAAATTTTTTTTCCAGCCTAGCCCAACCCAGCCTCCCAACCTAGTCCAACTTCCCAACCTCTCCCAACCTAGTCCCAAATAAGGGCCAATAGTTTTTGTTTGTTTTTTAGATAGGCAGCCTAATAACAACCCAATACTTACAAAAAAAAAAAGAAAGAAAGATAGGCAGCCCAATAGGTTTGTATTTGTTTAAAGAACAAATCTTTCAAAACAATCCTCACATCTTCCAATAGATAGGCAGCGGCCCTTTCTTCGTCGTCTCCAGCAGCCTGCAGCAACTCCACTTTCCTAACATTTTTTTGTAAGTGTAATTAACTAGTTATTTTATTTCGTTGGTTTAGAATGGATTTGATTAACAATGGTTTTGAAATTTTGTCTTTATATAACAAATATTATATTTCTCTTAGTTTTTTTTTTTTTTTTTTTTTTATGATGCCTTGTTCAATGTTCTATATTGCTCTTAGTTTTTGAACTTTGAAGGAGTTTCTTTGGACATCTATAAAAATAATGAAAGCCTAAATAAAAATTATTGAAGATATATATAAAAACCCTAATATTTAAAATTATTACGAATATACTCTGGTCTAATATTAATTAGGGCTAAATTATTATTATTATTATTATTATTATTATTATTATTATTATTATTATATATTGATTTTTTTAGGTTATAAATAATGGAACCTCCACCACTAAAAAAAGGAAAAACCTTTTTCTCATTTTATCAATCAAAACAGAAGTCTAGTAGTACAACATCCAATGTTGTTAAAACCTCATTTTCTGATGTGTAACCACCTTCCATGTCTCAAGCAAATAAACCAAGCGAATTTGATTCAATTGTTATTGAGCGGGATCCTGGTTTACGCTTGTAAATTTGTGAATATCCGGTTAATCAACATGATGAGGTTAGACAAGCTTATGTGAACTTGGGGCCTTATTAACCTAAAATTGAGTATCCTAGGTCCTCATTTGAAACGCAGAATCACCGATTCCAACATATTTGGTTTAAACAATTCTCTTGGCTAGAGTATTCTCCTTCAAAGGATAAAGCATATTATTTTTCATGTTTTTTGCTTTATCATCCAAATAAGTCGATCAGTCATTCTGCGCTTGTTGATGAGGGGTTTAACAGTTGGAAGGGAGTAAATGATGGATCCAAATGTGTTTTTTTGCTTCATGTCGGACTTGCATCTTCATCACATAGTCATTGTGTTTAGTCGTGACAATTTAAAGAAATCTTCCCACACATTGAAAAGTGTTGAATGCGCAATCAAAAGAAAAGATTTTGAAGAATCGGATACGGGTAAAGGCAACAGTTGAAACCATTCAAGTACTTGCTCTTCAAGGACTTAGTTTTACAGGTCGTGATGAAAGCTCGACTTCATTGAATCAAGATAATCTAATTGAATTATTAAAGTTCAACGCGAGAGGGAATGATGCACTTGAGAGCATTATATTAAAGATTGCTCCACAAATGCCAAATACACTTCTCTGAAGATCCAAAAGGAGATTTTGCATATACTTGCTAACAGAGTTAAGAATATGATTTTTGATGAACTTGCAGGAGGTTTTTTGTATTCTTGTTGATGAATCCCAAGATGAGTCTAAAAAAGAACAAATGGTCCTTATTTTGAGATATGTCAAGAATGATGGTTTGCTAGGGAAACGGTTCTTTAATCTCATCGGTGTCAAAAATACATTTTTATTAACTCTTAAAAAAGAGATATCGATTATCCTTTCTTGATTTAATCTCCCTATTCAAAACATGCGTGGTCAAGGGTATGACGGTGCTAGCAATATGCGTGGCGAATGGAATGGACTTCAAGCTTTATTTCTTGAAGATTGCCCATATGCATATTATGTACATTGCTTTGCACATCATCTGCAATTGGCCTTAATTGTGGCAACAAAAGATGAGCGTAATGTTTGGCAATTTTTTTCTCATTTGAGTTATATTGTCAATCATGTTGCTTCTTCTCCAAAGCGCCTTGTGAGTTAAAATATTTTCATAGGAGTGAGGTTGAAAATATGTTGGCTAGTGATAAGCGCCAATATGGTAAATGGGCAAATCAAATTGGTACCTTGCAACGAGTTGGAGCTACTCGTTAGAGCTCGCGTTATGACTCTATTAGAAACTTGATTCATATGTATGAGGCATCTTGTGTAGTTGTTGAAAGTCTCAAGAATAGTACAAATCAACAATTTCATGGTCAAGCTAATGGTGTTTACAAAGTAATGAAGAGCTTTCAATTCATATTCGTCTTGCACTTGATAGACAACATTTTGGGAATCGTAAATACACTTTGTCAAGCCTTGCAATAGAAAACTCAAGACATCTCAAATGCGATGAAATTAGTTTCCACAACAAAAGCTCTTCTTCAAAAACTTAGGCAAGATGATTGGGATATTTTTCTTGCAAATGTGGTGTCATTTTGCAATCGACATAACATTGCGGTGTATGATATGAGTTCTCCTTATGAAGAGGGTACAAGTCGTTGTCGTCAACAAGATCACATTACAATTGAGCATCATTATCACTTTGACACATTCAACTCTACAATTGATTTTCCGTTGATGGAGTTCGAACATAGATTTAATGATGGGGCAGTGGAACTTCTTTCTCTTAGCTCGGCTCTGGATCCTAGTGGAAATTTTAGATCTTTTAATGTGGATAATATTTGCAATCTTGCTGAGAAATTTTATCCCCAAGATTTCACTTCTTAGGGCATCCGTGCTTTGAGATGTCAATTAGTGCATTATAAGCTTGATATTGTTTATGAACCTGAGTTTCATAAGATATCTACCCTTGCCATTTTGTGCCGAGAACTATTTGTGACAAGAAAATTCGAGCATTACACCATGATCTACAAATTGATTTGTCTTGTGTCAATTATTCCTGTTTCTACGGTGACTACAGAAAGAGCATTTTCGGGTATGAAGCATGTTAAAATTGTCATACACAATTCAATAGGGAATGAGTTTCTTGTCGATTGCTTGTCTCTCTACCTTGAACATGACCTTACTTTGAAAATTAATCTAGATTCTGTAGATGATGTGCAAAGCAATATACATAATATGCATATGGGATCTCATGAGTTTTCATTGCATTTAAGATGTCATGAGTTTTTTGTTGCAAGGTTTGACAAAGTGTATTTACGATTCCCAAAATGTTGTGTATCAAGTGTAAGATGAATATGAATTCAAAGCTCTTTGTTACTTTGTAAACACCATTAGCTTGCCCGCGAAATTGTTGATTTGTACTCTTCTTGAGACTTTCAACAACTACACAAGATGCTTCATACATATGAATCAAGTTTCTAACAGAGTCATAATGTGAGCTCCAACGAGTAGCTCTAGCTCGTTGCAACGTATCCATTTGATTTCCCATTTACCAGATTGATGCTCACCACTAGCCAACATATTTTTAACCTCACTCTTATGAAAATATTTTAACTCACCAAGGCGCTTTGGAGAAGAAGCAACAAAATTGACAATACAACTCAAGTGAGAAAAAAATTGCCAAACATTAGGCTCATCATTTGTTACCGCAATTAAGGCCAATTGTAGATGATGTGCAAAGCAATGTACATAATATGCATATGGGAAATCTTTAAGAAATAAAGCTTGAAGTCCATTTCATTTGCCACGTATGTTGGTAGCACCATCATATCCTTGACCATGCATATTTTGAATAGAGAGATTAAATCGAGAAAGGATAATCGATATCTCTTTTTTAAGAGTTACTGCAGATGTATTTTTGACACCCAAGATATCAAAGAAGCATTCCCTTGGCAAACCATCATTCTTGGTGTATCTCAAAATAAGGACCATTTGTTCTTTTTTAGACTTATCTTCGGATTTATCAACAAGAATACAAAAATAACCTCCTGCAACTTCATCAAAAATTATGTTCCTAACTCCGTTAGCAAGTATATGCAAAATCTCCTTTTGGATCTTAGGAGAAGTGTATTTGGAATTTGTGGAGCATTCTTTAATATAATGCTCTCAAGTGCATCATTCCCTCTCGCCTTGAACTTTAATAATTCAATTAGATTTCCTTGATTCAATGAAGTTGAGCTTTCATCATGACCTCTAAAACCAAGTCTTTGAAGAGCAAGCACTTGAATCATTTCAATTGGTTCAACACTTTTTCAATGTGTTGGGAAGATTTCTTTAACTTGTCATGACTAATAACATAATGACTATGTGATGAAGATGCAAGTCCAACATGAAGCAAAAAAACACATTTGGATCCATCATTTACTCCCTTCCAATTGTTAAACCCCTCATCAACAAGCACAGAACGACTGATCGACTTATTTGGATGATCGAACAAATAACATGAAAAACAATATGCTTTATCCTTTGAAGGAGAACACTCTAGCCAAGAAAATTGTTTAAACCAAATATGTTGGAATCGATGATTCTGCTTTCCAAATGAGGACCTAGGATACTCAAGTTTAGGTTGATATGGCCCCAAGTTCACATAAGCTCGTCTAATCTCATCCTGTTAATTAACTGGATATTCACAAATTTGCAAGCGTAAACCTGGATCCCGTTCAATAACAATTGAATCAAATTCACTTGGTTTATTTGCTTGAGACATGGAAGGCGGTTGCACATCAGAAAATGGGATTTCAACAACATTTGATGTTGTACTACTGGACTTCTACTTTGATTGATAGAATGGGAAAAGGGTTTTGCCTTTTTTTTAGTGGTGGAGGTTCCATTATTTGTAACCTAATTTTTAAAAAAAAAAAAAAAATTAGCCCTATTTAATATTAAGCCAGAGTATGTTCATAATAATTTTAAATATTAGGGTTTTTATATATATCTTCAATAATTTTTATTTAGGCTTTCATTATTTTTATAGATGTCCAAAGAAACTCCTTCAAAGTTCAATGACTAAGAGCAATATAGAGCATTGAACAAGGCAGCATCATTAAAAAAACTAAGAGCAATATAATATTTGTTGTATAAAGACAAAATTTCAAAACCATTGTTGGTCAAATCCATTCTAAACCAATGAAATAAAACAATTGGTTAATTACACTTACAAAAAATGTTAGGAAAGTGGAGCTGTCGTAGGCTGCTGGAGACAACGAAGAAAGGGTCGCTGCCTATCTATTGGAAGATGTGAGGATTGTTTTGGAAGATTTGTTCTTTAAACATACAAACCTATTGGGTTGTCTATCTATTTTATTTTGATAAGTATTGGGCTGCCTATCTAAAAAACAAACAAAAAAAAAACTATTGGCCCTTATTTGGGACTGGTTTGGGAGAGGTTGGGAAGCTGGACTAGGTTGGGAGGCTGGGCTGGGAAAAACAATTTCTATAGATTTTTTAAATTTTGGACTGGGCTACAGTTGCCTATGCCCAGCCCTAGGTCCGCCCTTGAGTGAAATAGAATAATTTTCCCATCAAAATTTTTATTCTCATGTTTACAAAAATATATTACAAGGGAAATTATTATTCGTTATTGTAATTAAATGATCATTCTATAAGAAAATTTAAGAAATGACCATTCACATTCCATCTCATTTCAACTAACCAAATTATAGTGAAGATGTTGAAAGGAAAATAGAATTTGTTGGGAAAATGACTTATTTAGTTGTTTTTTGCATTTGTTACAAAAATATAAGGTGAAAAAAATTGAAGTAATTAGGAATAAATTTTTAAATTTTTACAAAAAAATAAATATATACATAATAAAATAAAAATAAATCTGAACTTTTTATATAATTTTCAATTTTTAAAATTTTTAACTTTTCATGAAATTCTTTCATTTTCAAACGCAGTGTAACAAAATGCCTCCTTCTAATTCATATAAGAAATCATATTAGAGCATCTCCATCAAATCAATTAAAATTTTATTGTATTTTGACTTAAAAAGTTTTTTTATTTTTTATTTTTTATTTTGACTATACACTTTTTTAAATATATTATCCAACAAACTCTCTATTCTTTTTCTATATTATTTAAATATTATTTTTATTCATTTTGATTTAGAATTATTTTTTATAAATTCAACACAATTAATTTCAAAATATGAAAATTATATTATTTTAATATTTGATTAAGTAAAATCACTAGCTACATTTATTGAGTCAAAACCATGAAAACTAAAATGACTAACTTGATAGCTAATTTGATGGAGATGAATTTTAGTGATTTACTTAGGAAGTGTTTGATAAAACTGAAAATTAAGTATTGAAAATTGAATGTTTGATTTTTTAAACTAAAAAGCTGTTTGATAAAAATTTAAGTATTGAACTAAAAATAAGTTGTTTAATATGTATAAGATCAAATTTAAAATTTATTATTTTTAAATTGTATATTTTAATTTTTAAATTGTGATAGTGGTGATAGTGGCAGTGGTGATCGTATGATGGTGGTGGTGGTGGTAGCGATGGTAGTAGTAATAAAATGATGGTGGTGATAGTGGTGGCGGTGATGATGGCGGTGGCAAAGGCGGTAGTAGTGGCGATGGTGGTAGCAATAGCGTTGATAGTGGTGGTAGCGATGGTAGTGGAAGTAAAATGGTGGTGGGAGTAGTGGTGGTGGTGGTGGTGGTGATGATGGTATGATGGTGGTGGTGGTGGCATGATGGCAGTAACATGGTGGTGGTGGTGGTTTATAATAATGTATATCAATACTTATGTTTAATAAATTCAATCAAAATTAAGTAAGTTTTTGTCGAGAAGTGGTTTGGAAATACTCTTCTGATCTTGGAAAATGCTCGTGATCCTCTTCCGGTCACCTGAAAAAGAATATACACTCCGACGGGGGTACCAAAATTAGCACTCCGACAGACAAGTCAGTAACCACACTCAGGAGTACTTTTGTTCTAAGTTAAGCATCACCATTCTTACATACCTCTTTCTGGCTGATGTTCTTCTATTTATATCTTTTCTTCCACGGGCCTTGGGATTAGGTCCATTTCTAACTCATATTCTGCGCATCTTATAATAGACCGACCCTCACTCGGTCCCTTGCCTAATCGGTTGTTTGGCCGAATAGGGTCGGATTTGAACATGTGAGCCAGTTTCCGATTGCTTCGAATCTCGGCTCTCCGAGATTCAACTATCTGGAATCTCTATGACTCCCTATTCTCGGCCCCCACAATTGCCCCTCAAGCACTCCACTAACGACAGTTGGCTGGAATGTTTGGTTTCGAACTAAAAGAGTCAGAGCCGAAATTCGACAATTGACCGTATTCAAACGCAAATGTCTGTACACACGCTTCCCGATTATCATTTCAACTTCCCTCCTCTTCATACATTTCTATTTATTACGATTCGAAATTTCGACGTCTTTTCAAATGCATACATGCTTTTAGACATCCGTCGTTGGATTGCCTTCCGAACTACCTCTGCAACTTCCTACTATACTCTATCTCCTTCGCCTCTTGTAAGTTCTCTCCTTCTCTGCTTTGTTTTTCTTTTGTCTTAACATAATCCTATTGGATGGGGGAATAGGGAAACATTTAAAAGATCTCCTCTCACTAGATCGAATTTCTGGCTTTCGACGCCATTTTTCCATTCCTGATGATGTTCGTCTATCATTTGTGGTAGACGGCACCCTCGATATGGAGAGGGTTGATGAGACCATGATCGTCTTCTCTCTTCTATCGATCGCAGAGGGTGGGGTCCATTTTCCCCTTCATCCTCTTCTTAGGGCCGTGCTTTGCCATTGGGGGTTAATCCCTTCCCAACCCAACGTCAACTTCTATAGGATCGTGATGGGGATTATCGCACTAAATCGCCGCCTTATGCTTAAACTTGGCATTCTCGCTATTCGGCATTGCTACGCCTTGGCCAAGTCATCTGGTCGGCACGGGCGTTATTTCCTTAGGGCCAAAGACACCGACCATCAACTAGTGACTATGCTTTCCAGCTCTGGGAAGCGAGTCGATGATGTTATGGTCGTCGTCCACGGAAACTGGGAATTCGGCGAAGGCGATGATCGCCTTAATCGTATTCCTAGACGGAGGGGCGAACTAGGTGTCCGAGTATCTTCTTTTATTTATTTACTTGTTATATTTATAAAACTTTATTTTTGGGACCTCATGATTTTGCTTTTAAAGGAAACAATTTGAAGAAAGTCTTGATCTCGATCGATGACGCCGTCCTTTCAGAAATCAAGACTGCACTCAAGTATTTTAGCCGACCGAGTCTTCAGAAGTAGGGGAGGGCGGCCCACGTTCTGGTCCGCTACGAGCCGACTTATACGACCTTTTCGGCGGCCGAAAACATCCCAATTTCGAAGGGTGAGGAGTCTCTTATCACCCTTATCTTGACTGATTTTAGAAATTTGAGGCAAGTTGGTTGTGAGGGATCAGATTCAGAGCGACCGAAAGTAGTTGAGGCCGCCGAGTCAGACCAATTCGAAACTGAGGTTGACGAGGCTTTGAAGTTAGCATTTGAAGAAGCTGGCATCAATTCGACTGATCCTCCGTCCACTTCGGGTCGGGAGGACCGTCCGCTTGACGATATTTTTCACGGTCTAGAGGACCTTCCCAGTGCGTTCCCAGAAGATATGGCTGGGTTGAGCCTCACTAAACTTGCCATGAAGGCAAATGCGGAAAGGATGGCCGTGCGGCGAACGGCGGAGAAGATTCGGGCTGCCGAATCTCAGTCCCAAACCTCCTTGCCTGTTATTAAGGGGACGGCAAAGAACAGAAGTACCGAGGCAGAACCTTTTGTGCAGGCAAGTGTGGAAGTTGAGCAAAGGGTGGAGAAATGCCCTGCCGATGTCGCGGCCAGCTCAGAAGAACGTACCGACAAACAACCTCGTTTGGAGGAGTCGGATGTGATCGTACCTTTTGTTATCCAGCCCAAGATAAAGAATATGTCAATCTCCACTGATGTTTCGGTGACCAAAGATCCAGCAGTTGCACTCAGCTTGGCGATGTCCGTTTCACTGCCGGCTGACAAGGCGGCTTTTCGGGCAGAGCCAGATCTGGTTGCAATTGGGTTGGCCGTGCAATTGGCTCTTTTGGTATATATCTGCACTTTGTCTTTTCTCTTTACGCAAATATTATTTTGTTCTTATCTTCCTGCTTTGCAGGCCGTCGGAAGAATAGCCGACATGGGTTGTCGCTATCATGATGTCATCGAGCTAATTGGCCATTTACAAGCAGAGGTTAAGGGCCAAAGGAGTAGGGCGCAGATGGAGGGCGCCCGTGCCGAGGCCGAGATGGAGAGAGCCCGCAATGCTGAAGAATTGAGATCAGTCGCCGAGAAAAGGGCGGATGTGAGCGACGACGCGCTTAAATTGGCCTAGGAGGCGATCTCTAAATTGGAGGCTGGGTTGGAAGAGATGAAGGCGACGAAGGAAACGGCCAACCTGAAGGCTTCTAGTGCATTTGACGCTGGGAGAAAATCTTCTTTTGATGAATATGTAGGTGAAGTCCCTAAATTTGAGAATCGGGGATTTAAACACGGCTGGCTCAAAGCGCTTGCTGCTGCTGATGTGACATTGGCTATGCCAATTCCATACAAGCAAGTGGGTGTTGAGCCATTGGAATCTGACTCCGAGGACTAATTTAGGTGGCTCTAGTTTTTTGTTTTTAGGATTTGCATGTAATTTTCAGCTTTTTACAGCTTTTTGTCTAGTAATTTTCATATGTAAAATGGTTACAATTTGTGCCCAATTTACTTAATGAAAATTCATTTTGTACTTTGCTGTTACTAATGAACGGAATTGTTTGGTTGCTATTTTGGATAAAACATTTTGTATACTTGCCGACTAGATGATAGGCCGTTTAGATAGTTAGGCCGTTTAAAAAGCCAAAAATTAGTACATGAAGTGTCTGTGGCACGCTTTAATCGGCATGGGGTCAAGATGCTTGGCCGATTAGATTAATAAATCTGCCCTTGCCCCAGCCAGTGCATGGACTTCAAGGCATTCACCCATAATCGCCATTTAGATAATTAGGCCGTTTAAAAAGCCAAAAATCAGTACATCTAGTGGTTGTGGCACGCTTTAATCGGCATGGGGTCAACATGCTCGGCCAGTGAGATTAATAAATCGGCCCTTGCCCCAGCCAGTGCATGGACTTCAAGGCATTTGCCCATAATCGTTGTTTAGATAATTAGGCCGTCTAAAAAGCCAAAAATCAGTACATGAAGTGGCTGTGGCACACTTTAATCGGCATGGGGCCAAGATGCTCGGCCGGTTAGATTAATAAATCTGCCCTTGCCCCAGCCAGTGCATGGACTTCAAGGCATTCGCCCATAATCACCGTTTAGATAATTAGGCCATTTAAAAAGCCAAAAATTAGTACATGAAGTGGCTGTGGCACGCTTTAATCGGCATGGGTCCAAGATGCTCGGCCGGTTAGATTAATAAATCTACCCTTGCCCCAGCCAGTGCATTGACTTCAAAGCATTCGTCCATAATCGCCGTTTAGATAATTAGGCCGTTTGAAAAGCCAAAAAATTAGTACATGAAGTGGCTATGGCACACTTTAATTGGCAGGGGGCGATAGCGTTTGGAGACTGCCAAAAGCGTTAATGAAATTTCCTCGGGGTCGCTACATGCCTACGAATAAATGGGGTGAGCTCGTGCCAGTGGGTCTACTTATTCTTATTCAGACTCGATTTGAACTAGTTTGGGTCGAGGGCAAATGTCAAACAGACTATTTTTCAACAGCAGATGAGAGGGATTAACGCTGGCTGAGCTAGATACTGCGATGAATTGCAGCGGCGAGCCTGTGCGTGCAGGAGGAAGGGCATCCAAGGAAAGTGAAAAATGTCAACCTTCAAGCCGTCGAAGCAGATCACCCCGAAGAGAGAAGCATCAACGGGGAAGCTCCCCACGACCACGACTGAGGAATGAGTCAGACGCGATGCCACGACCATTGACTTTTGCGCTGTTCGTGGGGAATAAACTGATGACTAAGGCAGATTCCATCGTTAATGATCCAGGTGTAGCGGTCGAGTTCGCTCGACAGATCTTTCCACTGGAAGTCCAACAATCGATGGTTGGACGACGTGATTTCAAAGTGTTTCGAGAAGGAATTCATGGGGTGGTGAAGGGGCTGTACACCGCCTACGAAGTCGGCATGCGTCTGCGCGCCGTGCGGCGGGAGATGGAGAAAATGGACGAACGGGTCCGCAGTTCGGAGGCTCGTGCGGAGAAGGCAGAGGGCGCGCTTAGGGAGCTTAGAAAGGTTAAAGTCGCTGATCCGCATGCGGCGGGTCAATCTAACCCGATTGTGGACGAGAGGGTGACCCAACGACTATTGAGTCATGCCATCGCCGACCGAGATACGGCAGGCATGTTTGCCATAGCAAATGCGAAGGCCAAGGATTATGAGGAGGGTTTCCATGCTGGCCGGAAAGTTGGGATCGAGAAAACGAAAGAGACACTTGCCGAGGAGGTCTGCCGATGCGAGAATCATGGCTTTAAGCATGGTTGGCTTGCGGCTCTTCAGGCTGCGGAGGCTCTCCGAGCGAGGGGTGTCGATTTCAACTTATGTGATTTGGATCATCATGATCGTTTGCCCTTTTCCGCCTTTGAAGTTGAAAAGAGTGATGATGAGGGAGACGCCGAATAAAAATATTCGTTATAAATGTTAAAACACAGATTGCGTCTAAGATTATGTAATTATGGTTGGTCAAATAAAAAATCATTTTATTTTCAACGTTTTGTTATAAGTTTTGTTCAGCACACACATACTTGCATGCGTTTTATTACATAAATGTTTAAATAAACGTATTCCAGACGATTGAATGGACATTGTTCGGCTTGATTTAATCGACATTATTGTGTTATCGGCCGAAAGATGTCATATGCACGAAAGGCGCTCCGAATCCGGAGACTTGCATTGGCCGATTGTGATATCCACGAAGGGCGCTCCGAATCCGCAGGCTTGAATGGGCCAATCGTGATATCCACGAAAGGCTCTCCGAATTCGGAGACTTGAATTGGCCAATCGTGATATCCATGAAGGGCGCTCCAAATCCGGAGACATGAATTGGCCAATCGTGATATCCACGAAGGGCGCTCCGAATCCGGAGACTTGAATTGGCCGATCGTGATATCCACGAAGGGTGCTCCGAATCCAGAGGTTTTATCGGCCCAAAGACGTCATTCGCCGATGGGGCTCCGAATCCGGAGACTTGAATTGGCCGATCGTGATATCCACTAAGGGCGCTCTGAATCCGGAGGTTTTATCGGCCCAAAGACGTCATTCGCCGATGGGGCTCCGAATCCGGAGACTTGAATTGCCCAATCGTTATATCCACGAAGGGCGCTCCGAATCTAGAGGTTTTATCGGCCCAAAGACGTCATTCGCCAATAGGGCTCCGAATCCGGAGACTTGAATTGCCCAATCGTGAGATCCACGAAGGGCACTATGAATCCGGAGACTTTATCGGCCCAAAGACGTCATTCGCCGATGGGGCTCCGAATTCGGAGACTTGAATTGGCCAATCGTGATATCTACGAAGGGCGCTTCGAATCTGGAGACATGAATCGGCCGATCGTGATATCCACGAAGGGCGCTCCGAATTCGGAGACTTTATTGGCCCAAAGACGTCATTCGCCCAAAGACGTCATTCGTCGATGGGGCTCCGAATCTGGAGACATGAATTGGCCAATCG